GTTGCAATTATAGATCTATGATAACAGAGATCAACGTGCGCGATTTTCAACGAACGAATCACGTGCTGCGTTGATATCTTAGCGTTGATAATCTAAGAATGCGTTAACAACGTCAGCGAGCACTTTGACGTCACTTTTCAATAGAACTTTTTCACAGATTAGAATCGTCGCGTTACGGTTGTCTCCCTTTTCCATTGTTCTTCACTGATTAATTTCCATTTCTCAGAAAATGATGTGATTCACTAAGAACGCACCTTGCGAACTGCAATGCGCACTACGAGTAACCAGCTTACTCCAAACGTCGCCACCAGGTTCGCCGCTGTTGTGACGTTGACCTCTTCTGAATGCCACGGGTCAAATATAGCAGTGTTTCTCAATCTATTTTTAGCTCGTGACCCCCTTCTGTGTTTTATTTACCTTTGTGGCCCTGACATCTCGCGGTAACTGTCCTTTGGTAAACATAACAGTACGCCAATTCTTTATTTATCCTGTATTACAACGACACGATACGTTTGGTAAGATTTCTTCAAAAGTCGCGAGTTTCCATTTCTCGTTAGGTTTTTCATTTGTGACCTGTTGGGACCATATGGTCCCCGTTGAGAATCCCTGAGGTTTAGGGTTGACGCAGGCGCGTTCGCGTATCTGTTACCGATTAACCGCAGCAGAATTATCCTGGCGTTATTGACCGCCAGCCGACAAGTTAGAGTTGTTGCGCAGATGACTTTTTTAGTGGCTGGGATTAAAGTATGTCCTGGCTGCATAAATTTGTCGCAAAGTTCCTGAAAAACTATGAATCATTCTAAATGTATAGTCTAACATTAAATATTTATCAGGTTGCTCTGTAAGAAGAAAGTAGATCCATTTGAAAAGATTGCCAAACGTGATAAATATGTAACAGAGATATAATTAAAACGAAATTGCAAAGACACTGTTCGTTTCTGCAGCTTGAGCTCAAAGAATTAAACTAAATTTTTCTGGATATGTGTAGTTGGTAAATTTGGAACTCGGAGGCTGAAATATGCGTCTGCGCGTACAGATGATACGACACGAGACCATTTTCATGTATTGACCGACACAAGACACCGTGGATCTATTCTTACAAACATGTTTGTACCTACGACCGCTAAACTACGAAACGCGTAGTTTATTATTACCATCGCGGCAGCATGAGTTCTCTCAGTTTTTCCATTGATCGAATATACCCTCTACGTCGGGTTATCGTTGATATCATTCGTGTTTACTCTCTTAACAATATAATAAAATTCATCTCAAGTTCTACGTGAAGAATAAACACGATTTTATGCATAAAGCATCGGACCTTTCACAGTAAGAGTATTATACAAAATGCTCTTATCTGCAACATCTCACAGGCCGCCATGTTGCATCGGCACGGAACTATTTATAAAGATTTTCGAGAGATGTCACCTATATCCCAAGAGGAAATTATATTTTGAAGAAATACACAACAATGTACAACAAGCATCAAGGGGTTAACGAGATATCACTCTTTCATTGTATCTTGGTAGATAAACACAGTTTCGTGCTCAAGAGGTCGCGGAATCAGAATTTTCCACGTCTCACGCCGAATATCTGCATGTTTATAATCAGCGAGTGCGAACACTTCAAAAATCGATGATAGCGTTTGTTTGCGAGTCAATGTTACGCAATCAGGACTCGAGAAAGGGAAACTCGCAATCAGGCATCGAATGTTCAAGAAGTTTGATTGGATTCCTGTTTATTCAGATCGAATAAGAGAAGTTGCAATACACGAATGCTTTTTCCATACTCTGACATCGTTCTCCAATTTCAGTGTGAAAATTGCTCCGTGTTTAATGGAATGTTGATTTTATAAATGAATATTTTGCTTTGAAACAAGGTTAACGGTTGTACAATAAACTGCATCGCGGTTGTTTATAAGTCTGGGTTAGCTTCCATCGCGAATAACTGGCTACTAAATATCGGCGGTTTAGACGTCACGATTACGGGTCAACGAATTGCAATTGATAACATAATAGCGGTATGTAAGGGGTACTTTTCATACGAAACGAGATTGCATGTTCACGACAGATTCGCCATACGTACCCTGGTAAACAGGCTTATCACTTCGTGCCACGATAACTCCGAAGAAGGTATTTACATACTATTGCGCAAACTACCTCATCGTTGAATGGTGTCTTTACCTAAAAGAATAAAGAACATTGAGAATTGGTTCTCGAGTAGATCGTGGAAGAATTTTAATATCACTCTTTGGCGACGTGCGATGAAATTGTAGAAATACTGTTACGACGGTTAATTTGTTTCGGTGTTAGACGCGACATGTGGAATTTTTATTAGACGCCAGTGGCTGCTGTATTCTTAAGAAAAGGACCACGATGAAAGAACCACGCTCGATGTATTTTTATTTTATTTTTTCTAGGCACGGGTGAATTTCGATCACATTTCACATTTAAATCGAGAATTTGTAAGTCTGATCTACCGGCGAAATTTGAAAAGTTTTCTGACTATGTAGAATGTTATCGATACATCGCACGACCAAACATTAAAGTATCACGTGTGATAACCTGATAACTGAAGTAGTAATTCTAAACGCCAGACGGATTAGTTGATTAGATATTCTAAGTACGATATACTTAGTCTGATGAAAAACGTATTAGTATTGGAAAATTAAAAAAACTTCTGAAATCTGTTTATCGTACGTGATACGAGAGTAGAAAATTTGTTCTATTTACGGCCCATGAATATCTCGAGCACAATCAATTTGTCAGCTCATGCCAAGAGTGAGGTAATGACATGCAATTTAAGCGTGGATTGCGTCGCTGTCACGTGCTTTAAAATTATTACATCTCTCAAAAACGTTGAGTGACTATACGTGCCCTGTGGCGACTGTCGGAGTATTATTTTTAAAACTCTCGACTCGCGTTCGTTTTTTCTTTATCGTTCCAAAAATATTTACGCGGACACGGTACGGTTAACCAGGAATCGAGAGTTCGGTTCGAATCTCACAGTTATCGAACTTTTTATTTAAAGAAAGATAAATCGTGGCGAAAGTTAGGCTAACGCGGCGAAAGACTTAAATAACGATTTCGAAGTTGTTCGAATGCACGATCTACTTACGTGGCTTTTTTCGACTACGTGCGGGGGGCAGAAAGTTTCGTGAAATTTTCAGGCCTTCCCGCGAGGAAGCTTCTTTATCATTTAAGCGGGCCAAAAAGCTTTCACCTACACGCCTCCCGGCAGTATTTCTTGCGAAGCGTGACTTTCATTTCCATGCATTCTTCAAGAGCTTCCTGGGGATCGTAAATGCTTTCTGAAATAAAAGGCGGCGTTTTATACGGTAACCATTCAATCGTGCTTGGTAGAAAAAACTGTGAAAGTCTAAAGCCAGTGCTTCTCAACCAGGAACGTTATTTCTAACGACCTCCCGGAATGACATTAAATTATCAATGAATTAAATTATAAATCAGTATCTTGGAGCCAATATTTAGAGTCAATATACATACTTTGTGTATTAAAAAACTATTAGCCTTTCGCAGTTTTCATATGGGGTCGATTCGCTTTCATAATTCTAATTAGGTACTTGGTGGCTGTTTCCATCCCCTTAATGCACGTTTGCGGTAAAAGTGTTTGCGTTGCTCACGATATTAGCATACCCAAGGCAGTTCGCGCAAAGCGCGACGAACAATTGTAACGGCATCTACCTAACTTTACGTAACTTCAAATTACCTAGCCGCTACAACTTCCGTCAACACTTCCTGTTGTACCTTCATTTAGCTAACGAGCAATCTAAATGTTCCCCTGAACCAAGAAAGACTGACACGTTGGAGAGACTAATCTTTATATCCAGAATGGATGAAAGTATATTTCTTCTATACTACCAGCGATTTTAATCGCCTTCGTAGGTTCTTTCAAGAGTCTAGGAACGGTCGAGAATAGGTCTCGGAGGATTTAGATAGTTGGTTTCTCCAAAGGACGCCACAAACTGCTGGAATAACCAAAATCGCCTGGTGTCTGTAAGCTCTCGATGCAAGGGAAAGTCGAAGTCCTCGCGATCCCTTTGGAGTACGAAGCAACGCCTAGGCGCAGCATCGAGGAGGATTGCCAGAGAGACGGGTCCACGGTATCTCGCGTGGCGTTGCCGATGTCTCAGGTCACGGATTCAGGGTGCGCAGGGGGATAATACAGGCGTAGCCTCGAGAACGTCTGCGCGTGCTGCATTGCGGCTAGCCCACCCCTTGTTCCGTGCTGTATGGGCGGCAGGCCATTGGACGGACAAGGACGGAATCGGTTCGCGAGCGCGTCGAAGCGAGACGTCGACGCTGTCGGCAGGGGGTGGACGAGGAAGGGCGTCGTTGACGGAAAGAGGGACGAGGGGTGAACGGAAGAGAGTCGTCGAGAGAAAGACGAGCGACGGGATGTGCGAGAACGGGCCAGACAATGAGCCCGGGGGGTGGCTCGACCGGGGAAGCGAGAAAGAGAACGGGAACGAACGCGGGTGCGAGGGAGACGACGTGGAAAGAAGAGAGTCCGTGTGCAAGGTAGCGGCGGAAGCAAGGAGAGAGAGAGAGAGAGAGAGAGAGAGAGAGAGAGAGAGAGAGAGAGAGAGAGAGAGAGAGAGAGAGAGAGAGAGAGA